CGTTGAGACGAAGATGTCGTGCCTGCTTGGAAATGGACGGAGGGCACTTTGAACATCTTCTGTAACTTTGTTTTTTGTTTGTTAAAAGCTTCCTTTGTCGGTTTATTTCTAACAAAATAAAATGTTTGAAAAACGAATAGTGGTCCATATCTCCGCAACCTTACTTTACGGACCCATGTTTATTAAAACTTTTCTGCTTATTTTGGTTCATACTATTACCTCCTGAAATATTTTACACTCTTTTTTTAACACCCTGTATAAAATTACTTCAATTATATCCCTCAAACTACCCATATCCACGCCACTGCTATTGGATAAAATGATTTGTATGCTTTTCTTAAGACACGGTTGATATCTATTCATGTACAAATTTTAACATTTTTCTCTTTAGGGGATTTAAGATAAGAAAACTGTGATTTTTGCCCTGTATTGAGCGTCCCATATTTTAAAACCAAAAGGCGGTAACCCTAAATGCGTTCCATATAGAATGAAATAAGATAAACCAACCTTTGGCGACAGTGAAGATTTTTACTTATTTCGAAGTCGATTTTCCGCTACTAAAAGTGAAAGTCGCTTCGAGCCGCCCGAGCACGACAACGCAATTCTCGTAAAACCGTCAGCGAAACCGAAATTGAGGCAACTTTAACCATAAAAATTAAGACTGCGTATCTTTACTGTTACGTAACCGAAGTGACAGCAAATGAAAAAACGCGCCTTGAATTAAATTGGGTGACTAACAAACTATCGCGGTTTTCGCATCGTGACACACTTCGCTGTTTGTATATAATTTAAAACACGTCAGATATTCGCTACAAAGTTTTTTTTACATAAAACTCGCGTAAATATTACGGATTGGGAGCGACGAAAGACGACATGATTCCAAGTTTGTTTCATCGTACAAACGTTATATTTTTAGCTGCTTTACAAGATGATGTGTGAACTGATTGACCTAGCTTAAACATGCTCTCGTAGAAATATGTATGGGAACAACGAGAATTATAAAGTAATTGGAATTACAGCTTAATCATAGTTATACTCGTAGTATTGCCCTGATTTTAATCAACTGATGTTATGATGTTATTTTAAACTAGGAACGATTTATTAATGTGGACTATTAAGACTATAGCTTTTTTAAATAGCCCTCTAATATATAATTTCGTCGTCATTAATTAGATTTTACTAAAATTGTGCTTAATACATATACATATGTAGGTATATCAACTAAAAATCCCTAAACTGCAGTGGAGTCGTTGACGGGGTTAGATGTAGTTAAATAAAAGTATTTTTGGAATATTATATTAGTAAAATGAACAGACAGTTTATTTTTTCGTATACATAGATCACATACCATTATAAAAAAGTTACTGTTTGCTCTTTGGTTAATTTATAAACCATTGCTCTAATAATGTTACTTTGTTACAATATAAAATACATTCATAAGTAAAATAATGTAAATAAATTCATAAAAAGAACTCATAAATTAGTAAGCTATATTTTAATATAATATATTTATTTTACTTCTTTTACTTTTTAAGACTTATTCACTTTGATTCTAAAGAATTATAAAACTTGTACACCCTCGAATAGACTTGCTCTCCTGAGGGTTTGATTATATTTGTTTGTTTTTATTGTTTTATTTACATTTATTGTTAAATTGTACTTTACATTTAACTATATTGGCATAAACAAATAAATATTATTTATTATTATTATTATTATTATTATTATTATTATTATCATTATTATTATTATTATTATATTGCCATATTCGCGATAAAAACATTACATATATTCAAAATGGTGTCCTTCATCAGCTGTGTACAAATTCACTCTCCTGTGCATATTTTGATACACATTTTGCAGCTGTTGTTTTGTTACGTTGTTAATTTCTCGAATAACTACTGATGCTAATTCTTAGATGTTGTGTATTGCTGTTAAAAAATAGTATTATTCAGATATCTAAACAAAAAATAATCTAAAGGAGTTAGATCCGGTGACCTGGCAGGCCAGAACTCTTGACTAATTAGTCGATTATCGTAAAATTCTTCCAAAAATTAAATTGTATCTCTTGCAGTATCATATCATATCTTATTGAAAGTAATACTTTGCAACTCTTAATCATGTGATCATTTCATAAAAGAATAGTATCCACATGGTCTCCGTTATTAAAGCAGGACATTGCAAGATTGGAAGGTGTTCAAAAGCGTGTTACATTTTTTAAATTTAACTTTTAGTTTTTACCTCGAGTGTAACTTGTAAAGTATGTTGAATATTAAGTACAAACAGATCACATTTAAAATTAGCTGCATTTATCTGCTTTAATCAAACATTATTTATCTTAAAGATGTAAATTTACAACTTCAGTCTACAAAATATTGACATGGGATTACTTAATATCAATATGATGAATTATATCTGAACTGGGACACACTTTCCTTATTTAACCTTTGAATTATTTGGCTTTTAATTAATAGGGAACGTTATATTTTAACATAAACTCTCCTATGAAAAATGTTTCCTTGTAGTGGGACGCCTATTTGCCAGACAGTAGCGTGCGGCAATATTTAAAGCAAGGGAAGCAACTTTAAAAAAGTTATTTTTTTTAATTAATATTTTACCTTTTTCAATTAGGTAGTCGACTTTTTTCAAATTTAGTACATTTAAAAATATATAAAGTCAAAAATTTTGAAATTCTACAGAGCATAAATTGAGTAAGAAATGAATTACAGTCTAACAAAATAATCAGCTTATCTTAAAAAAATCTTGCAATAAGATACTCTTGTTCCAAACTCGATAAGAAAAAGGTAATTTTAATTGTTATGCATCCAAGTCTCTATCTAACGTAGGTATTAGGCTTACGACACACTCTTGGATTGGATATTTCTCCCGTATTAATACAGATAGATCTATCTTGAGTGACCGCAAAAATCGTCCGTTTTTCCACAATTCGCAGAGAACTAAGAAAATATTTAAAAAATATGTTTTTGGTCTCAAATTACTCGTCGTAAAAAGTTAAGATGTTTTTTGAAAATTTTCAAAAATCACCCCTATTTAAGGGTTGAAAAGACGCCCAAAATGAAGAATTGATTACCAATAAATATAAAAACTATTAGCATGTGAATTTTTCTATTGAATGATTCTTGATACAAAAAAAGATTTATTCTCATGACTGAAATAGGCATGTTGAATTAGAAAATCCACCCTTAAGCGCGCTCAGGGGTGGAATCATCCCCAAAAATAGAGAAAATCAGAAATAATTGTAAAAATTTCAAAAAATATGTCAATATAATTCATTTGATAGAATAATTCGCATGCTAATAGTTTTTATATCAATTGGTAATATTCAAATTCTTCATTTTTGGCATTTTTTCAACCCCTAAGTAGGGGTGATTTTTTAAATTTTCAAAATACCAAAAGCTATGCTCATTTCAGTTTTTTACAACAAGTAATTTGCGACCAAAAACATATTTTTATGTATTTTTTTTAGTTCTCTGCGAATTGTGAAAAACGGGTGAAAATCACAGGCTTTTTTGCAGTCACTCAGTCTCTAAAATTTCCTATTTGATTTTTTGAGAGATAATCTAACTCAGGGGTAATTTTTTGGAGAGAATCTAATTCGGGGGTGATTTTTTGGAGATAATCTAACTCGGGGGTGATTTTTTGGAGAGAATCTGACTCGGGGGTGATATTTTGGGAGAGTATCTAATTCGAAAGTGATTTTTTGTGATTTTAACTCAAAAATTTTTATAAAAAAATTGTATTTTATTGTTATTCTGTGTAAAATAATCAATAATAGTATGTATACCTATGAGCTTAGTCATACAACATAAATGAAATGAGCATAAACGCTATAAAAAGTTCAATGGTGAGTACACACTCTGGGCAGGATTCCGTCCTTGCTTAAAGAACTGCAAATAATGTCCAGGGTAGACGTTCGGTCACACCTACGGCAACTACTCCGGTCTCCCTGGACCCAAGCTGGATTCCGCGTCTCTTGGTTTTGGCCTCTTAGGATTTTTCTATTTTATGTTGACTGGTAAAATGATATACAGGATGCTGTTCGGATTAAGTCCAAATTCGGAAATTTTGGAATTTCCGACCTAATTTTTCGTCACAGCATGCAAATAAGCTGTTGGAGATGATGATTACTGCATCGGGGTAGTTTTGGCTGCGAGAGGCGGTTTTTGGGCGTGGTGACGGGGAAATTGGAAACATCGATGAAAACGTCTGACTTCCTAGGCCACGTCGTTCGTAAGGGGGCATCGAGCCTCGTCAACGTCGATTATTGTAGAGAGGGTGTTTTTTTGTTGCCTGGAGCGGTTTTGAGCGCGACGGCGATGACAGAAAAAATGGAAAGATCGGTGAAAATTTGACCTTTGCCGCACTCCGGGCATCACCGTACAAGAGCTCCGGGTCCTTTGGGACATCGTCCTTGACTCTGGGTGCAGTTGATGTCGATTTAAGCGTTTTTTTCCGCTTTTTCAGTCCCGAATGGAAAGGGTGGTGAATTTTGACCTAAATGACTAGATGGATCGACACAAAATTTCGTTCTTATGAATATGTTCTTTACTTTACCAAGCCACCTTTTAGTATGATCGAAATTTATAGTTTTTAGACTATGTTTCGAACTGATATTTAAACATTTTCTTTACATATCCTGATTCCGCGGAATTGTTTGCATATACTTACCTAGTTTACTTTATACAAAATGGAGTCGTGTAGTCGTTATAAAAAAATATATTTCACAATACATATGACATATCTAAGACGGAATAATATAAGTAGGTACACGGAAAATATACGATTTCGTATATACTGAAAGCTACAAATATTTACCTACTTATATTGCCAACGATTTATTTGTTTACTCGCGAAGTAAATATGTTTTGGACGCTTGCATTCGCTACCGAATAAATATTTAGTTTAGACCCTTCATAAGTATTAGGCAATCGCCATTCGACGACCACATTCTAATCCTTAAATTTTTGTTTTTTTTTCAGGAAATGGTCCAAGCCAAGGACCCTCCTTCTTATTATTTAAACAAATTACGCACCTATTTGGACCCTAAAGCCTCGAGAAGCCATAGGGTAAGTGTTTAATATCAGTATTCCAGTGTCGTTTGGATAATAGTAATGATTATTGTCGCCGTAATAAAATTTATTTAAAAATAATATCCAATTTCATACATGACTCACAGATTGGTCTTAGTCTTAACGTAGCTCGTAAGTCAATGTAATTTATATAGGCACCATATAAAATTTTCATAAGCCATAAAGTCAGGTATATCTAATCTAAGTACTCTTTGAATGCAGGCTTCAAATAATCATGGACATTTCTTTAAACGGAATATTCAGTATTCACGGATTGAATACTTTTTCTGTATTCATACCCAGCTCTAATATAAATTATAATTATGAAATTAAATAACCTTAAGAGTTACAGTCCGTACGATATTTGTTTTTTTCACCAAAAAATTTATTCCCTTTTCTCCTAACGATAAAAAAAAATTGAAATTTAAAGTACATTTTGAAAATTCGGGCGTTACAGCTATAAAAACATTTCCCATTTTCACCCCGTAACATTAATTATCCGGCCGCACAAAATAAATACGCACAAAAGCAAACAGAAGGGTGTTTTACGTCGCTGATAATGCACCCCGATCAGACGACGAGTCGTCAGTCCATAACTAGGGTGCAGTACTAATAGTCCACCGAGGAATGCATATTCACGTTCCGCTCTGCTTGCAACTGCATTATGCAATATATTAAGGTATGCTTAACGCCTATTGGGTCACAGCCAACCCTTACGGTTTTTCAAACGGTTCAATTGTCTGTGAAACGGCAGCGCTATTAATCCGTTACACTAGGTATACCTACTGCACTTGCAGGTTTTCACTAGTTGAACATCGACTGGGAAGTTCGCTGTTTGGTATTCTGGGGTTTTACGATACTGTACGATATTTATAGCGTGATCAAATTCATCTTGTCAGAGATGCGCAGTGGCAACGTCACCAGACTGGCACCAGAGTGAGCTCATTCTAAGTCTGAACATCTGAGAAAAAGTTATCTGAACCACAGACAATATAGCTTCGCTTCAGACAGCGCCTGGACTAGGACAGCAGTTTTAAATTTCCGAATTGCCGATAGAGTACACCACCAGCAGTATTTTAGGAAGATTCAAATGGAACGTCTTATGCGTATCCTAGCAACGCATAAAAACAGTTTGACAACGTTGTCGCGCGTACGCACGAAACTTATTTTGTACACTTTTTTTATCAATGCCTATTTACTTACTTAAATGTATGATGTAGGTATTGATAAAAATGTTTTAAGGAATGAATGAATAAGGAACCTATGCAGTCAACTTGAGACGATCGGATATTTTGCAGCGGTGTCGCAGTTGAGTTATTTAATCATAATTTCGTTATTAGCTACTATTTTCATTTTTTGGTATTGATATACCGCAGAAAATATATTTATATATTATATAAGCGGGGGAGGGGGGGGTTTGTCCTGTGCCTGTGTGTTTGAAAATGGTAAATTATGCGCAGAATACAAAATCCGCTGCGCAATTTGTGCTTACAGAGGACTTTGGTTATTAATATGTTTGGGTTTTCGTTTGCATTTTGACTTCACTTACACCTTTAATGATTTAAGATAAAAAAAAACTTTAAATACAAATGTAGGATTTTTCCTTTATTATCTTTTGATATGATCAAAATTATTATTATACACGTTTAAAATAAAAAATTGTTAAAAAAATTAAAATACTTTCTTATTGAAATAACAAATAACTATTTTTATAACTGAAACATATACATATACAGGGTAGCCCATCGAAAACGTACCGCATGGCATTACAGGGTAGTAAAGAACTTTTCGGCAAAATCCAAAAACAAGTCAAATTTATTTCTGACGGGGACAACTTTTAGCTCAAAAAGCATACCAAAATCTTCAACCCCCTAAGTGGGGGTGCTATCCCCTAAATTTTTTCAAATGGGAATGGGGGTCAAGTGGGGGGTCATTAGAAAGGGCTTTTAATTCTCTATACATCGATTCTTACTTTTTGAAAATCGATTCATTATTTTAGAAAATATGCAGCTTTGAAAATACGAACAATATTTTTGACGAGAAATGCGAAAATCGATTTAATTTTACTTCAAAACTTACGGTATTAGTCAAGTAAATGCTGAAAATGTTGTCCGCCAACTTGCATACAATGATACAGGTTGTCTTCAAACCGTTGTCGAACATTCTGGAGCACTTGCGGTGTTACTTCGCGACATACATTAATGATTCGTCCTCGCAGATCTTCCAAGGTATCAGGTGGAGTGCTGTAAACTTTGCTTTTAATGTGCCCCCAGAGAAAGAAATCTAAAGGATTTAAGTCGGGTGACCGAGGGGGCCACTCAATTGCACCTCTTCGTCCTATCCAGCGTCCTGGAAACGTCTCATTTAGGTAATTGCGCACATTGAGCGAGTAATGTGGAGGAGCTCCGTCTTGCTGGAAAATCAGTTCGTGTTCATTGTAAGCAGGGTCGTCCTCTATGATATTTGTTAGAGCTGGGTCGATGACATTTTGTAGTAAATCCAAGTACATATCGCCTGTCAAATTTCCAGGAAGGAAAAAAGGACCTACAATGGAATTTCCAAAAATACCTGCCCATACATTCAACTTCTGGGGGTGTTGGGAGTGTGTCTCATGGAAAATCCTTGGATTGGTATCAGCCCAGTAACGACAATTATGGCGATTCACTAAACCATTCAAGAAGAACGTACACTCGTCCGAAAAACACACATTAAAGAGGAAATTATCGTTTATCGCTCGTTCAGTCATTATTTCGCAAAATTGCAAACGACGATCAAAATCGTCTTCATTTAGCTCTTGCACTAGCCGAATCTTATAAGGATGGAATTTGTATTTTTTTAATATTCGTTGGACACTTGTACGACTCACTCCTGTCGCAGTAGCCAATTGCATTGTACTCAGCGTACTATCCATTGCCACTTGCCCCAATACCGCTATTTCCGTAGGTTCATTTAGTACCGGATTTTCAACCTGCCTCTTTTTGTTATGAACGGAGCCAGTTTCGCGAAATTTGGCCACCAATTCGCGAACAATTTTTCCAGACGCATGTTTCTCAGGATGCCGTTGGTTGAACAGTTCGGCGACCCGATTTCCGCATTCATTGTTTTTGAAAAAAAGCTCAATAATTTCTACTCTTTCTGGAATTGAGTACACCATAATTAATCAATTTAAAAGACTCGGCAGTATTGGTACTCTTCAACTACAAGTCACAAGACAGTTATCTAGCAACTTCTTGTGGCCTATCTAAATACGAAACAAAAAGCGGACAATTTTTTGCTCACCAAAATCAGGCTAAAGAATTCGCAAATCAGAAAAAAAAAAGCGAATTCTTTTGAAGGAATTTACCAAGCTAATACCGTAAGTTTTGAAGTAAAATTAAATCGATTTTCGCATTTCTCGTCAAAAATATTGTTCGTATTTTCAAAGCTGCATATTTTCTAAAATAATGGATCGATTTTCAAAAAGTAAGAATCGATGTATAGAGAATTAAAAGCCCTTTCTAATGACCCCCCACTTGACCCCCATTCCCATTTAAAAAAATTTGGGGGATGGCACCCCCACTTAGGGGGTTAAAGATTTTCCTATGCTTTTTGCGCCAAAAGTTGTCCCCCTCAGAAGCAAACTTTACCTGTTTTTGGATTTTGCCGAAAAGTTCATTACTACCCTGTAATGCCTTGCGGTAAGTTTTCGATGGGCTACCCTGTATATACCCTTTGTTTTACTGACGATTTGACTCATCCTAAAACGTTAAAAATCTGTCGATTCAATTAGTTTTTAATGACATTTTTTTGGAAATTCAAAAAAAATGCCTCCTCAAAATAAAATTTAACTTATTTCTCAGGTTTTTTTTAAACGCCCGCTCTGTGCAAAGTTTTTATTTAAGTATTTATTTTATTTTCATTAAACTATTTAAATTAATTCAAAATCGCATACTGAAAATGACAGTAGTTGTTGCAATAAATCTAAACATGAAAATATATAACTTTTTTATGAAAAATGTCTGGTTTATCCTATTATTTTTCGTGGTTAACGACTTAACCTACTTCTGCAATAGACCGCACTTAAAACTTTTCATCAAAAAACGAAATTCGATTAGATCTAAAACACGTGTAATCCCATATATTTTAATAACCAACGCGTGCAGTACTTATCAATTTAATAACAGGCCGACACTGTGCTATTTACGTTAAAAACAATCGTGTTTACTGCCGTTCCATTATTATTCTCTACTGGAACGGCGTGACATTTGAATAAGAATGAGAGGATCCAATTAATTCTAAAAGGAGTCTTTTCTGTTTTATATACACTTGGCCTCTAAATAATAAGTGAGTGTTTCGTTTCAAGCTTTATTTATATCCACTGTAAGTTTTTAATCCGAGGGTATTTAATAAATAACAAGTGGATCTTCTGTTTCCTCCAGTATACAGGTTTCTTAGACTTAAATAGCTTATTAATTATTTATTTATATTTGAGTTTATTTTATATTGCAGAGAAGCAGTGCTATTAGATAAATGATTTGTAAATTCACCATTCAGTAAACTAACTTAGTTGACAGTACCAATCGTGCAGTGTTGGTTGCATAAGCTCGACGATCACGTGGCTTGTAATCATTTATGAAACCTCTGTAGGTGGCGCCCTGTTAGTAGGTTAAGGGTGTCTCAAACTCGATATTATGGACCTACTGTGAGGATACAAAAAAATTAAATAAAAAATGAAACACGTGGTGTTAAATGGGATGAGGTAAGCTTCATTTTCAATCGAAAGTATTATCTTTGGGATTTGACAGAAACGACTAAAGACGTCATCAATTATATTTTTTCCAGAAACATACCCAATTTTTGTTTACTGTTAAAAAGCTCTCTTTTTTCTAATAAACTTTTACTAGAGAAATTTTTCTATATTGCTTCCCATTTAAAAGTTATAAGCAATATCATCCTAAAGAATCTCAAAAGAAATTCCACCTAAAAATCACATTAGCGGTGAATGGATCAAGTATTCG